GTCAGTACGTCATAACAGCTATTAAATACGATATTTAATACACAAACCATGTTATCTTTTTTATAGTTGACATATAAACACGCGTTTGATTTCAGTCCAAATTGCACTCCACTCTGTTCAATTAGGGACTGCTCATTATTTATTGTGCAGGGGGAGACTGAGGAGAAACCCTACAGTTAGGGACTGCTCATTATTTATTGTGCAGGAGGGGACTGAGGAGAAACCCTACAGTTATACTAATATTTTTTCGTTGCCCCCCTCTTAAGACAAGTAAAATTTTTAAAGCCCCCCCCCCCCAACAGGCAAAACAAGAACATAAATTTTGATTTCCCTAGCTCTTTATCTTTATTAGAGAAACAAAAACTCTAGCTCTATATTTAGAAAAACAAAAATAGATAATGGGACCAATAGACAATTCCCATTATAGACTAATTTTTTATCTTACCAAAAAAAGTATATTCCCGGGAAGGGCGTACTAAAATTAATAAAATTGCAAAGTTTGGTTGCGAAATGTTGTAAAATGTAGAAAATATATAGTCTTCCAAAGTTTGCAAATTTTTTATACTTTTGTATTGCAATTTTCGCATGTAATACAAAAGTGCACAAAATTTGCAAACTTTGCAAGGCTATATTTTCCGTATTTTACAACATTTCGCAACCAAACTTTGCAATAATTTACTTATTTTAGTATGCTCTTTCTAGCTGTGGTGATTTGTTTGAATCAAGGCTGGATTTTGAGGGGAGGTGTGGAGAGGTGCGCACCTCACCTGAGATCGTTTTGCACCTCTCCTGGAAGGTCATGCACCTCCCCTTGGGAAAGTTTCAATGATTGAACAAAGTGAAAATGTGATGGTTGCTTAGGATCTACAGGGTGTCCCAAAAAAAAGTGACACTATAGAAATTATCTCGTTGTTATAATTTGAATGCCCTAGCACTAAGTTGATCCCACAGGTGCATAAACTTCTGCTTCTGGAATTTAAAATAAAAAAGCAAGCCGTTTATTAGTGTAATCGTTTTGCTTGACTCGGGCGTTAAAATATTTGGACAAAGCGAAAACGTTTTAAAATGCTTAAATGTAAATACAAGTTCATTAAATTCCCAGGCGTGTAATCACGCGCGTTTAAGAGCGGCTTAAGAACAATGAGATAATTTCTATAGTGTCACTTTTTTTTGGGACACCCTGTACACTTTGTGACGTAAGAAAGTTTTCTCTGTAAAATTGAAACAGTGACAGCCATTCATCTCTGTGTCAAGTACCCTTTTAATGCAATGTTTTGAAAGAAACTTTGTAGCAATTGTAATGAAGGGCAAGATTGGAGTCGTACCTTCATAACTCATTAATACACTGGTACATATGCACACTACTTCACTACATGCATACCTCACCTTGTTGATACTTGCCTGTTCTACAATAAGCCCTAACTTTCCATAGGGGTTGTGAGCTAGACCGCTGTACCTCCCTTAAAATTTTTTTCCACCTCCCCCACTATTTTCACCAAAATTCGGCCTTGAATTGCATCTCTTTGCCTAGTTCTAAAATTAGTCTATAATGGGAATTGTCTATTTACATGAACATAAGAGACTTTTTATTTGGCTTCCATTTATGAATATTAAAGGTCTATAAACATTGTTATTTGTTGTTAAGTTGTTTTCTGATACATTTTTAAAACTACTAATGTTTTTTCAAACTGGTAAATCTTTTCAAAGCCCCCCTTCTTTCGTCTCTCTGTATTTTTTCAAAGCCCCCCTTACAGGTTTTAAACAATTTACCCCCAGTTTCTCCTCAATCCCCCCTGTACAATAAATAATGAGCGGCCATTACCATTATTAATATAGTACGAGGAGCTTTATCCACTCATTATAATTTTAATAATAATAATACTAATAATAATTATTTTCTAATACATATAGGCTATGTTATTTAAGGCCCTGTCATACTATTGCGCATGAGAGAAACGTATGAGAAGCGTATGAAAATTAATGAAATAATTTTCACACGCACAAAAATCCTTTGAAATGCCAGCGTATGAGTACCGTACATCTGGCGTACCTCTAGCGTATTCAGCGTCTGCCTAGAGTATGCTTATCGTATAAAGCATACGTCGGATACGCACAGAATTTTTGAACATGCTTAAAAAAAAAATTCTGCCCCGCCGTATGCCAGCGTATGCCACCGTGTGCGACCATGCTTGAAACGTATACAACCTATGCCTACGTCCCCTAGCGTATGTCAGCGTATACCGGCGTCCCAGCGGGCAAAATGACGTTTATCCAACGTTGAAGCAACGTTGGAAATGACCTTCCAGACGTTGGATAGACGTTGAAAAAGGGTTGACTATGCAAATTGGATCGACGTTACTCGACGTTGAAACAACGTTGAAATTAGGTTGCCAATCTCGTCAACCATAATTCAACGTTGAATCCACGTTAAAACAACGTTGAGATTGGTTCACAAATCGACGTCGTACATTTAACCACGAATGAACGTTAATTCAACGTCTGTTGGCTGCTGTTGAACCAATGTTTGTAAAACAACGTCAGAGCAACGTAGATATTAGGTTGTCGACGTCGCAGCCTTTTTTCTACCAAATTTCAACGTTGAAACAACGTCGTGTGCTCGGTGGGGTATGAATGATATTTTTCATACGCTGGCATACGCAATAGTGTGACAGGGTCTTTACCGGCTGCGAGGTCCGTACTGAAAACAATATTTTCCCGAGGTCTCAGAAGCGGCCCGAGGCCGAAGTCCGAGGGACGCTTCTGAGGCCGAGGGAAAATATTTTTTAGTACTGACCGACCTAAACGGTAAATAACGTATTTAATTCCGATAAAATTCCAGTTGCAAAGTGCATTTGTGATCAGTTGCGTTTGTTACTTTAGTGCAAGCATCACTGACAAACTGCTAAAACGACGCGATAAAAGCTGGAAAAATAGCTTTTATTTTCATTGCAATATAAATCTTTTCTACTCAACCAGAAAGCAGAAGGTAAACTAAGTAAAAATATTTATTTTCCGATTCTGGCCGGTGTTTTTCGATGTTTATATTTGTTTTTTTTCGCAGTTTGGTCAGAGAAAAGTACATTTCGGGCTTGGCACTGAGTCCACTGAGGTCAATTCACTGTATTTCACCGTCTTTAGTATCGTTAGGGTGGGTTTTTAAACTTTTTGGGTAGTGTTTTGAGTTTTAAAATTGTCTTTACTCCTCGGTTAGTCGCTAACGGACGGACCTTAGATATTTGAGGGGGGTGGGAGGAGGGGGGCGGGTGTGGTGGGCAAATACCAAAAAAAAGTTCGCGCACAGAAAAAATCCAGAAAAAATATCGTGCACAACAAACCTATTGAAAAAAAAATCGAGCAAGAACTAGGGCTGATTTTTAAAATCGTAATGCAATTATTCTAAAACATTAAAATGGTGTTTTACGACAACCGAAAAAATTTATGCCTTCCGCCGCCCACACCCTCCCTCGTCGACGAACTGTTCGTCCAACTTTCCGGGAAAATTTTTTTAGGTCATCTTAAAAAAATATCGTGCAAAGGAATGTTGCAGAAAAAAATTCTTGCAAGCAATGAAAATGAAAAAAACGTCGTGCACAGAAAAATTGCCCAATTCCCCCTCAAATATCTAATGGCCGTCCCTAAAAAATAACTCTTTTAGACCACGGTCAAGACATCGTAAAAAGCTGCCCGCTGCTGTAGCCAATCAGATTGAGAGAAATAAAAAATATCACTAGGCATGCACATATAAAAAATAATAATTGTTTTTTTTACTACTACTAGTTATTTTCTCCTTACTTTTAGGACGCAAGAATTAGTAAAAAAAATTTCGCGTTAATTTGGGGGACCGCAAGTTTTGATATCTTAAATTCTAATCCTAGGGCGTTTACTATACCTTCAATAAAGTAGTTAAGGGACATTGGCAACAAAAAATTTTATTACTTATATCTATTAAGTATACCTACAGAATATTTAATTTAATATTTTGGTTGGTTTATCGCGTTTAGTTGTTGAGACATGGCATTTCTTACTACCATGGACAGGTGGGGAATTTGGCCCACTGGGCCCTTCCTCTGCCCCACCACTGAAGAAAAAATAGGTAAGCTAAGCGTACATGTATCTGCTCATGGTGATTGCACTGTTGCCAAGGGCTTCAATCAATACTCAGTATCTTGTAAAAATTTTAAGGGACTGATGTTTAACAGTTGACCAATTAAATAAAGTTAGATTTATATAGTATGTCAGATGAAAGAAAAATAAAATGGCTTATATATATTCAACTTGCAGAAACTAATTCCGGCCATAACTTCACAAAGATGATATTCAGTTTTATGATGTTCTTGTTGAATCATCTTAGTTTTATAATGTTCTTGCAGGAATGGATCCAGCAAGATCTGGTAGGGGGGAGGTTGCTCTGCCAGCTCTGGTGCCGAGTTGTGTCGGTCATGTGTGCCGCCCGCCCATCAACTTGCTCCACTACCGTGTATATTTGTAACCAATATTTGTAATTGTTGTTCACAGTTCGCTTATCATCATATTATTACTCAAATTACTGTAACTCATTTTATCTCTAATAATTTTTTGCTTTATCAAGTCATGAAAAATAGCACCCTCCTGCACCACGTCTGGCCAGGGCTAGGGGGGGGGGGGGTTGTTTTCAGTGTTGGCAGAGGAGGCAGCTGATATATCCATCAAAGAGCAGCTTTCCTTAGTCCTACGATTTGTCGATTCAAGTCAGCAGATTCGAGAGGAGTTTGTTGGTTTCTACCATTGTGAAGATGGAACCAGTGGAGTGGCATTGAAAGAGATGGCTGACCTTGGTTTACCAATGGCTAACTGCAGAGGTCAATCATATGATGGTGCTGGCAATATGGCGGGAAAGTAAAATGGTGTTTCGTCACTTATCCAAGGTCAGTTTAGCAAAGCTTTATATGTTCATTGCATGAACCACCGCCTCAATCTCTGTGTTGCCGATACTTGCTCTGAATATTTAGTTTAAGACATGATGTCTGTTGTTAGGAGTCTTTCCTCTTTCTTCTCTGGCTCTCCTAAACGGCAACAGCATTTAAAAGAGAAGGTTAAGTCTTTATTGCCTGCTTCCAAGCATGAAGTTTTAATTAATGTTTGTGAGACCAGGTGGATTGCTCGCCTTGATGGCTTGGATAGAATTGTTGAGCTCCTTCTCCCAGTTGTATGTACGGTAGAAGATATTGCACACAATAGGAAAGGGGGGACGAAGAATCTAATTCTGGTGATTGGAATCAAAATAGCAAAGCAACTGCTAAAAAGATGCTGCTCTCTATAACTTTTCAATTTGTTGTTACTTTGGTCATAGTTAGATATATATTAGACTTAACTAGACCTGCAACTGTAAAGCTGCAAAAGAAAAGAAATGGACCTTTTGAAGGCTCATTCAGAAATTTCATCTTTGAAGAAAAATCTTCAAGACTTGAGGTCCAACAATGATAGAGAACACCATAAACTCTATCAGGAGGCAGTGGAACTTGCAGCTACAATTGGGCTTGACCCCTGTAAGCCTAGAATTATTCCAGTGCAAGCACATAGAAATAATAATCCATCAGATTCTATTGAAGGGCATTATAGAGTTAATCTTTCTGTTGTTTTTCTTGATCATGCTTTAAATCAACTTGAAACTAGGTTCCCTCCTGAAGCTTATACATGTTACAGTGGGTTTTCTATAGTTCCCACTGTTATGTTGGCAAACCCATCCACATGGAAAAATTGTGTTACACTATTTTGCCAACATTATTCTAGTGACATCCCAAATGTCATTGGTTTGCCTGCCGAATTAACTTTATGGCAAAGAAGATGGGAAGATAAGGTTGAGGAAGTTGGTATAGGCAAACTTCCTGACAGGGTATCCAAAACACTAATATCTGTAGACCCTGTAGCTTTTCCAAATATTTTTACTGTATTAAAGATATTGGCAACTATTCCTGTCACCTCCTGTAGCTGTGAAAGGTCAATTTCATCTCTCAGACTTCTTAAGAACTATTTAAGGAACACTACAGGCCAGGAAAGACTAAATGGTTTGACCCTAATGCATGCACATAAGGCAATTTCTCTGGATTATGAACTGATCATTGATCTGTTTGCTACCCTTCATCCAAGAAGAATGAGAATGGTGCATATTTTATGTAGTGATGACTAAATTGACTAATTATTCATGACTATATGACATGTTAATTTATGTACAAATGTGCATGATTAATTGAATATTAAATGCACATACAGTATATATTTGATCAAATGCATACAGCCAAAAAGAACAATATTAAGCTAGCAACTTAACACACATGAATTCATAAAATGTTTCACATTTTGTTAGGCACATTTGTATGTGTTTTAAATATTTCTCGATAATCCCATCTTTGACTTCTAAGTTTCTTCTTTGGAAGTGGTGGTTTGCTTTGACATATACTGAATAACTGAAATGTTACTTTGCTAACAATGGTCAACTGCATACGATTCAGATCATCCAGTGATATCCTAAGATGTTGTATAACTTTGAAAGAACAGTGGTAGTTGTGTGCCAATTGTCATTGTCATCTTACATTACTGACGTGAAGTCACAGTGAAGATAGCAGAAGAAGAAATGAACAATGACATATTCATATTGATCATTGACATAAAGTATAAACTTAAAGGTTCTTTTTTAGAGACTGCAAATGCCTCAAAAAATAAATAAATGAACTTTAATTGTTAATTTGTGTTTATTCCAGGACCTGGACCCCCCTCCCTCCCCTTAGTTAACTCGCGCCTCACGGTGAGAGCTAGTGTTGTCTTGGAAACTAGTCACAAGAACGTCTAGATCCACCCCTGAGAGACACAAATTATAAAAATTTTCTGGGGGGCATGCTTCAACCCCCTAGCGCGTAATGCCTGCCGTAATCTGCTCACACCCACAGAACTATATAATATGGAAGGCTGACTCGAGCTCAAAAAGTGAAGCCAAACATGGCGGAAATTGAAGGCATTCTTGCGCGTCATTCTCAGTCCCCTTACGTGCGCGGTCAACTAAACGTTTATCTTTTTCTTTACTTTGCGAGTAAAAATCTGGTGAAAAACAGACGAAATTTGAATGGCGCTTTGTTGGGATCAGTTCTAAATTTAAATTAGTTATTTATGTAAAAGATGCGATATTTGAGTGGAAAAAAAGCAAAATAGCGCAGGATTGTTGTTTTTGTAAGTGACAAATCATCTTTCAAAATATCTGTATTGCCCCTATTGACAGGCGTTTCACAGTCACACATGATAAATAACTCATTAAAATAAACAATTTAAGTTTATAAGGCAACCATCAAAGTGATTTTATTAAATAAAAATAAAAAAACAAAATTTTCTTACATGTATGGAATTAAATTGACTAAAAACTGCTTCGAAAACTGCAGTTAAAAAGCAGTTTTAGGACAGGAAAAGAGACTAAGAGACCGGTCATTATTTATAGCGGGGGGTGGCACCGAAGAGAAATTTTTTTCTTGGTAAGAATTTTGCTGACCCAACCATTAAAAAGTCAAAAATGTTTTTACTCAACCTCAAATATCAATTAAAAAATTAATACCCACCCCTGGAAAAAAATTATAAAAAGGGATACTATTCTGCATTCTACATTTTCATGTTGTCTGCACATGTGCTTTCTTCGGAGACACCATTCGCCTCCTTACAAAAAAAAAATGATCAAGATAGTGACTCCGGTTGATTGATTGATTGATTGATTTACATATTATATTGACATATGACTGTTGACATTGCTTTTTATTTTTCAATATTTGAATAAGTCATGCTTTGGAAATGACAATTTTTTTATTACCCAACCTTTGAGTTGTTTTGTTTTTCATTTATCCAACCTTTTACTCACTCAAAATTCTCTTCGTTGCCACCCCCCGCCATAAATAATGACCAGTCCCTAAAATAAGCTAAATAATGGTGTGAAAACTGAAAAGCACCATAGAAACAAGAAAGCGGAACAACCAAAGCAAAAATAAATTCCCAACTTATAAAAATACAGATTTATTCAAAAAAAAAGTTTGAAATTAGTGTTGAATTCGCAACAAAAAATACAGATTTACTCACACATACAGTGGGAAAATGCAGTAGACAGATCGATTAGATGAGGGAAATCAGGTTTACATGAAATAAATGAAGTTTATTTCCTTTTTTGCTCTTTTAAAATGAAGAAAAACACAACCCGAGAGTCACAGACCCATCACTTCCCGCCATGAAATTATAAAAAATGTTTGGCCGCGCGGGTAAGGAGACTGGAAATGACGCGCAAGAATGCCTTCAAAATCCGCCATCATTGGCTTCAATTTTTGATTACGTCACTGATGAAGTCAGCCTTCCATTTATATAGTTCAATGCTCACACCTTCGGCGACTGCATACTATGCTGGGGGGAGGGCAAGGAAAATGGGCCCTTTGGCAGTTTTGCCCCACCGCTGAAGAATCCTTAAAAAATGAACTGTGTTGAAAAAATTTAATAAAAAGTTCAACAGTTGTCCGCAATTTTGAAAATAAACGTGTATGCTAATTTATGCCACAAAATACGTCATCTGACGTCATTAGATGGGTAGACACAATTTCATTACTATAAACAATACCGCGAGTATTACCACGCCTAGTGCACTTTGAGCCAAAACAAAAGGCAGAAACGTTTTACCAAGTATGTAACTTGTTTGTAACACTATTTCTCATAGTATATATAGAGAATAATACATGGGTGCGCGGGAATACCAGATTTATTTCGAGTGTTGAACATGATATCTCACGAGTGAGCGCAGCGAACGAATGAGATATCATGTTCAACACGAGAAATAAATCTGGTATTTCCAAGCACCCATGTATTTTTCTGTTTATTATATAAACAAAATTCAGTGGAAAACAATAAAACGTCCGTGGCAATGCGTTTTACAACAAATGATATTTTCACACGTAAAAATATCGTATTTTTTACGTGTGTTTAAATCCGATTTTCAGTCAGTGGCCAAAAACTCTATATAACACTTATGTTTATATAATAAATCCTATTCCGTGTTAAATAAACGCAGAAATTCGAGTGTAACAAGGCAAATACCAACGCAATATTTTATGATCAACTATCTGTATTTTAAATTGCGCCATTCCTTGCTTTCCCAGTAGCTCGATATGTTTTTACATAACGTTTTATAGATATAAAATATGTCATTTTAGAGCGTAGTATAACGCTCAAAACGACATATTTTTAGCTAACATAACACGCACGCAATAGAATTCTCTCTTGTATAGTTTTGGTGCTACACATCTAATGACGTCACAAATTTCATTGACTGACCTTCTAGATAATTTTTCAAAAAAATTTCAAGTAGGATTGAAATAGCCAATAAAAATTTTCGTTGCCATTGTCCTTTAACAATTTCATTTTTATTTCGAAACAATAGAAAATTGAGCAACTTCAAATACTTTTTCATCGGCTTGTCTTTTCAAGTGCATCGTTTTTTAAACCATATTAATTTTCTGATATATTGACTAGCTTTAAACGTAGCCGCAAAATCTTTAATCATCCTTGCGCTTTAAAAAGACCACATGATAACAAACATTCAGACACTGATTGATGATAATTGAGATGTAATTAACAGATATCTCCCCGTGAGAAGTGCGAAAAACTATTACGAGCGCAGAGTTGGCACACGTATTACTAATATTATGCAGATTCCAAACATTACAGATATTCTAAATATAATATGCAGAATTACGAACAATGTATTGCATCATTCCTAGCAAAAAATATAATTAAACAAATTTAACGAAGAGTTTTCAAATATATACCATGTCCATTACTTTTTTGTCACTTTCCCAATATCTGCAGGAAAACATTGATTGAACTTATGCCGTGCGTCCATCACACTTTTGTAGCTGATAAATCGCCAATTGTACACGCAATTAGCACGACTATGTGTGCACTTACCAGGTAAAAATTCTCCAAGGTAATGCTTGTAGAATGTTTGACTGTAGGTTTTCGCTTTCAAACTAAAGGAAGTAGTGTATGTGAACGAATGTCCTCCCTTGCATGTTATCGTGACTTTCGCCGGTACTCGTGAATTATCAAATACGTATCGCTTTGCGAAACCGACTACCATTGCGGCGCCAGGTGTCTTGTAACTAATTTCTACACCTGATCCTGTAGTTGAAGTAGATCCTGTTGTTTTTTCTCTGGAGCTCCCCCACGTAACCGCGCCACCGGCGGAGGTGCCAACTGTCGCAGAAACGGATCCACCACTTCCAAAAAATTTGAAGCTTGCTTCAACAGTGACACTTGCGCTTACCTGCCAGTTCACCTCGGTAGATTTAGTTGTTCCCAACGTGAGCTCTTCTGTAAGATCCTTTGATTGTTGAAGGATGAGGGTGTGTTGTCCTCCAGAACAACTAGCCGCTGTTGTTACACCAATAAGTTCCTCTCCGTCGAATTTTGCTTCGTCCGTAGTATCGATAATCTCCACTTTCGTCGGTTTGCAGCCAGCACCTTTTATCCAGAACTCGTCCGATATGTCCTTTCCACACCGAAATTCTGCATTTTTGACATTTCCCTTATCGCCTCTCCAAAACAACGGACAGTTTCCAAAACCAATAGCCCACAGACCATTAGGTCGTGGTTTTATGTAGAAAAGATCTTTGATGGGCTTTCCGCAACGAAACTGGCCATTTTTGACATTCCCATTATCGCCATTCCAGTATAAAGGGCAGTTGCTGGAACCAATTGCATATCGGTCGCCACGTTTCTTAATCCACATAGGATCTCCTTTAGAAGTACCGCACCGAAACTCGGCATTCTTCTTATAACCATCGTCTCCTCTCCAGAACAAATGACAGTTATCTGCAAAACCGATTTGAAGGTCTGTAGCCCCTACATAGATGTCTGGAGACATCGACGTGGTGCAGGTCACTGTATGGAAACATATAAATGCTATGGTAGCAATCAACTTCATCTTTATATCGGAACTAAAGTAAATAAAAAGAAAATTAGAAATTTGGAAGAAAAATAGATAGTTGATATCGAATACGCGCCAAACTGCACAAAATATACATGTAAAATCGCGCATCAATTCGCAAAACGACATAAAAATACATGGTAGTGCGACTGGGGGAGATAATCTCAGCGCACCTCGTCTTCTAGCTAATTTGATGGGTTAGAATGGAATAGAATAGAATATAGTCAAATAATACAAGATGTAAAAAGATTCCACTCAATTTGTTGGCTCTAATTGTGAAACTCGACGGTTTTCTTGTGCCAACACGGGTAGTCCATTAATTTCATTATCATGTGATCAAATTTGGCGAATAGTCCGTATCCATGCAGACTGTAAGTTGTTGGATTTTTAAGGCAAGCCCTACGTAGTATGCAGGTGTCCCAGAATTTTCGCCCCCCTACAATTTCGCCCTTCGAACCTCGCCCGAACCTCGCCCGAAGCCCCTCTTTAGGAAATTCGCCCCCTTTAGAAACTTCACCTTTTCTTCAGGATTTTTGTCCTCCGTTCAAAATTTCGCCCTTCCTAAGGGACCGGTCATTATTTACACCCAGGGTTGGGGCCGAAGAGAAAATGGTTGGGTAACTGAAAATTCTAAGACATAATGGGTGGGGTAAAAAAATTTTTACAGCTCTTAAAGATGCGGTAAAATCCGTTCTGCGCATATATTCTGCGCATCAAAACATTCCATCAGTGGGGGAGCAACCTTTGGAATATTGTTAATATTTCGCACCTTCCGAACTTTCTTGAATTGAATCTCTAGTCTGTATTCATTTACAAGCATAACGAACCAGAAAAGTGTTAAAAATTCAGTATAATATATATCTAATCATATTTTACAACTGTAGCACTGAGTTCAAAATGTAAACAAAGCGCTTGTTTACATTACGGACTTTACATCACCTTTAAAGGTTGGGTAAAAAAAAATTGGCAGCATTTATTTATTTATTTAATATAAAAGTAGACTAATTTTTATAGACCCTATAAAAACAATAAAAACAGTTTAATTATCTAAAATGTCAATTGGCATATCATCACTTGACATGTCACTTTCGAGGTATACTTTACATCTGGCTGCCACAATGTTCCTTTTCTTTTTTGTCTTTGATTTTTATTCTTTGGCTCATTTTTCTCTTTTCTCATAGTCGTCGACAGAGGCAGCATCCAACCTTTTCCTTAACTGATTGTTTATGTGTTCAATATCATTATTTAGCAATTTCCTTCAGCATTTCACCTGTCTGGGCTGTCATAGCTTCAACAAAAGCAATTTCATTGCTTGCCCACTTCTTGGGCTCTAGGTTGTCCCCATACAGTTCTTTCTTGCGATTTAATAATAGTTTACCTTTGTCCTTATTAATTTTGTTGATAGTGGTCTTAATGTGGTCTAATGCTCTTTGGCTCTTGCACACATCCTCTAGCTGAAATAAATCTTGGTGGTAGTTGCATTCACATATACTGACGTAGTTCTTTACTGGAAAGATATATATGAAAATGATTCACAACCCTGAAGCTAAAATTCCAAGTAACACATTGGATTTTGGATACATACTAGCCATTTTAGACGTGGGAACGCACTTTATACGCACAGAAGACAACAATGAGTAATAGCCATACTTTTTTAAACCTTCTTCTGAGCTACAGGGTTTTGAACACTATTTTCAATTCCTTCTGTTGCTGGATTGTCAGGATTGCGAGAATATGTAGCCAGAGCGGCCTTCTTAAACTTCAGCAGATGCCCGAGTTTTGCCGATCAAAACATTAGGTATTCAGGTCAAACATCTGCCTCTGTTCCCCCGATTCTAGTGATTTAATAAGCTCAATATCGTTGAAACCAGTATCCTTAAATCTTTCCAAATACCCCTCAGCCAGATTAATAACAGACTTCACTATAATTACACCAACACACAACCTCGTTCCCAGGGCTTTTCCCTTTTTGTCATTGGGAAGGCGGGAAAAGGCCCTGGCACCGGCCGGTCTTCTATGTATTCTGATTGGTCAATGACAAGTACATTATTATGCAAATAATGCAATCTTGGATTAATTTATTCAAACCTCGGGATAAATTAACATTTTCACGCAAGGAGTGTCCATAATATTACTTTGTCCGTCTAAGAAATATTTTTGGCAAAATCTGTGGCATAATGGTTAAATTCGATACGATTTATACACAATTTGTCGAAGGTTAGTATTACTGTTTGTTTTAAACTGTGCTAGAATACACCTCTGACGTTCTGACCGAGTATTTAGGGTCAAATTTGCCTTCATTGAATCATTGGCTTCGTGCCTTCGTATAGCGTTAATGTTTATACAGTATTTATAAAACTAAAGTCTGGGTTTATAAACTGAAACATGACCTTTAGTTTTTGATATTCTTCATAGTCAAATTTAAATTGGCCTATTAAATTTATAGTAGTTACCACTACTCTAGAAATGCGACGATATTTTGTTTAATTATTTAAATATGCAACAGTGTTTGCAACTTTTGAATAATATGTGATTTGGTTTTGTTTCAGATACTATTACATGTTTCGTTTTACCATAAATTGTGTTAAAAAAGTGATTTGCTCATTTGGCTGATGTTACAGTTTTCTGATGTGTTTTGTTTTGATGATATTAGAACAATTTCAATATGAAAGTGCAGGTGTCTTTAGACATGAGCCATAATATATATATCAAAATACTGATAAAATCCGTTTCCAGCTCGATTGTATTTGCATTGTTGCAGACAAAGTTGTGCAATGGTGGGCTTATGTCACATACTCGTATGTAATTCCATGTGCATGCTTGTACTTTGATGCCTCAAGAGATGCTTCGAATGTGTAATAAAGGGCTGTTCACAGGAGTTGGGCTGTCTGGCCTTAAATTGCATTGTTTTTATGATATTTTAAGATTGTATTCATATGGCTGGACCATCTTTCATTGCCACAATGTTTGATGCTCAAACAGGCTTTAAAATCAGGTTACAATGCATGCTTGAAAATATGCAACAATTTCACCGCTAATAATATTCCAGAAAATCCTGCCTCTTTGGAGGTTTTCTACTTGTGATCGGGCAAGGGGAGCTAGCCAAGGGTGCTGGGTCAGAGTCAAACTCATGTGAACAGCTTCTAAGTCCTAATTATATTGATAATTGTACACTTTGGGATGGTAATTGCAATTTGTAAAATATTCCACATTTTATTTAATAAAATTTAATTATATACATGTATTGTTTTGTTGTTTATATTTTAAAACACCTTGGACAATGTATATTTACGCCTTTGGACCCTGTAAATAAACACCTTTGGGGGGTGTACCCATTCTAAGCCAAAGACGTTTAAGAACAATTATCAAGGAATTTGCATGATAAAATATATTTAAAACTGCTCTCCATATACATGTAATGCATGGTTCAATTCTTGCTTTTACCAAGTAAATCCAGGGATTTTCAATGTCCCCCTCCTCCCGTAGAATGCACTTGAAGTGACTGGGGCAAGGTGGCTATAACTATAATTATAAGTAGGTATATAAAAGTCAATTAAAATTTACAAATAGAGCTTTTTGAATATAGACCATTGCAAACATTTTTTTAATTTGTTTAACCCTTTATAGTGGCAATGTGCCATACTTTAGTATATTACTCCGTCTGGTGCCAGACAATTTTACTCAAGGGCAGATTGTAGACTTGTCACAAGTCGACCTCGAACAAAATGTCGGCTCACGCTCGCGTTTCGTTCGAGGTCGACTTGTGGCAAGTCTAGCAGAATGCTGCCACTCAATGAGTTAATATATTCTCAGAACAGTTACCATCAAATTAAATCTATTGTGCTGGCAAAATTGCCTTGGAGGGGGCCTTGATTTGTTGAGTCTTTTTTTTTTGGGGGGGGGGTGTTGTAAAACACAGAATAGCAACTGGTTTCAGAATAGGAAGAATTGTTGTAATAGAGGCAATATAATTCTAAGACAAATCATCCAAAGGAAGCAATCATTCTAGCTCTTATAGTGTATGTTGCAACAGGGATGGATTTACTGGGGGGTGTGCACCCCCCTAGCCCGGCCAGAAGGGGTGCTATTTTTCATGATAATTAAAGCAAAAAATTATTAGAGGCAAAATGAGATGCAGTAATTTGAGTAATAACATGATGAGTGAGCTGTGAACAACAATTACAATTCAAATACAGTAGTAAAGCAAGACTTTGCAGTAGTGAAGCAAGTTGATGGGCAGGTGGCACACATGACCA